GACAATAAATCCGGGAGCGGGGGGTTTGAAACCCTTTTCCCTGTATACAGTAATTACCAATTTTTAAAAGGTGAAACTTTCATTTTTCTTTTTGGGCCCCCCTTTTCGGGGGAACACCCCGGTTTGCTCAAAGAAAAAGATTTTAAATATTTAATTTTTGATTATTAATTTTTTTTAAAACAATGGGCCCGTTTCCAATCAAGGCAGGGTGGCCTGAAAAAAAAAAATTTTTCATCATTCCCCCATCATGTCTTGCCAGAGGGGTGTTTTTACAACATTAACACCCCTCCTCGAGTGTAGACCTGTATTTCCCCCATCCCCAGGACTTAAGCCACCTGCCGGTTTCCCCTGAATCCCTTCATAAATTTTGCTTTCTCACCCCCAACAGCACTAAAGTATTAAAAACCATTTGTCTCCATTCCCCCTATAAATACGCAGCTTGCGGGAAAGTCCAAGTCCTCGCACAAAAAAACACCCTTTCCCCCCTCCCTCCAACCCTTTTGGGCCCCCCCCCTACCCCCCCCCCCTCCGTACAGATTTTACACTCTCAAAGTCATTTGTTTTGTTCCATTCCTTAATGTCCAAACCCACCTAACCCCCCCTCAGGAAAAATTTTTTGGAAATCCCACACCTTCTCCTTTTCCCAAAACTACAATTCTCTGCTTATATTCACATCCACTTTGCCCTCAACTGACCTCCATGCCTCCACCCCCTCTCCTCTTTGAAAACATTCATCCCCCATGCTTCACACCCATAAAATGTTGGTAAATCATACCTCATACTTCCCCTTTTTGCGTCCCCGGACAAAGTTTTTTTTTCCCCACAGATCCTAATGAAAACCATCCCCCTTTTCCCCTCACATTCTACGATTCCCCTCATCCTTATAGGCCCTTGGTGAGACGTCCACTTTCAAATACTGAATCCATTCCCCCTCCAACTTCCCCTCCAATCGATACCAATCTTTGTCCCTAATTTTTTTATCCTCATAACCTTAATCTTTCCCTAAAATCATTTTTAAATTTTCTTCTCTTCATACCCTCCCAAATTTCCCTCCACCAACCTCTGCAATTCTCTTAGAATTCCCATAGGAGCATTGGTAGACAGCAACCACCCGGGGAGGCACTACGTCATGCAGGTGACTGTAAAACAAAAACCCTGAAAAAGTTTTACAGTGGTGGGATTGTTGGGTCTTTTCTGTCTCTAAACACTTTTGGAAAGAGGATATCTTGAAACTTCTACTTACCTTAGGTACACTAACAGGCATGCACACATATAATAATACACACTCAGGGTTTTTTCCTCTTTTTTTAATACTCTTGTTCTTTTTTTTTCTCTCTCTATTGTCCATGGGGAAGTGGAAAAGAATTATCCTCGTAAGCCGGGTCGTAGGGGCAAAAATTTTAAATTAATAATATTCTGTAAAAAAAAAAAAAAAAAAAAAAAAGGGTTTTTTGCCAGCCCATTTTGAATTATGCAAAAATAAAATTTCTCTCAGGTGTCATCATTTGGGCTTTTGTATGGAGGTCCTCTACTAGCATCAATAAAAAACTATGTACTCGTTTCCACCCCGACTAGCAACTGTCAGACAAAACAACATGATGGGGTTGTAAATTTTCCAAAGAAGATGTGGCTTTTTTTTAGCAATTTCTTCCTATATTTTAAGTTTTAATTGCTGAAAAACATACAAAGAAATCATTTTTCAGATTCAAAATCATTCCAGTTTTTGTTTGAGTGCCCCTATTTTGGCAGGCTTGTTGGCACAAATCTTAAACCCCTTTTAGGGTTTTTTGGCCCTACATACGGGTTTCGCCCCGGGGGTTTGACATATGTATGCCTTAATTCTAGCGCCCCAAATCTAAGAGAAAAGCTTGGGAGGCCTACATATGAAAGAATGGGGCATGTGGGCATGTGCTCGTATAAAAAAAAACCGCAGCACCAGTGTTAAAAGAAAAAAAACTTTGACCGTGTTTTTGGATTAAAACAGCAACTTTCACTGATTTTTGTATGGTTTAAATTTTTATTTTGGTCTCATTTTATAGAATGAAAAACAATTTCAGAAAATTGAGAGTTTTTGATGGGTTTACAATGAAAAGTACCTTGAAATTGAGCTCAAAATGCAAATGTTCATTTTACCAAAGTCAAAGAAAAAAAATCATGCCAAGCGTCCAATACACGTAAAATGGGAGTCTAATATTCTTTTACAAGCGAGCTGCATTATTTTAAAACATTTATAACTAATGCGTATTCTGTAACAGTAAACTTCATTTTTTGTAAGAAAAAAATTCAAAGTGGAAAGCCAAAGAAATAAAAGGGGGGGCCGGGGATGTGACAACGAAAAAAGAAACTTTTATTTTTGTGGCCCGGAATGTCTTTCTTGTTTATTTTTGGGCCTATTCGGAAAAGGCATCTTTTGAAGTTTGGTGAAAATTGCAAAATTGCAAATTCTGACCACTTTTTTGGGTAGTTGAAATCGTAAATGGGTGGTTTTTTTGTACTCATTCGATAGAAAAAATGGATTTAGCGAAAAAGTTATGATTTTGTCACTATACACTGGAATTGGCCAAAATAGAGCTCAAAGGGGGAAAATCCCGATGGTAAACACGTCGAGACCGCTAATTTGGAGGCAAAATTTCCTAAGTTTTCCATCAAATTTCATATTTTGGTTCATTATGATGGGGGAAAAGATTTTTCTATCTTTTTTATAAGAAAAAGTTTTTTTTTTTTTTTTTTAAATTTGGGGGGACCCTGAGAACAAGTCCGGAAGGGGCCCGGCAACCCTGAAAGGGGTTTAAAAAAGATTTTTAACAATTACGTAACTCAAAAACTTTTTTCAACAAGGCGAGTTATATTGCCCCCTTTGATTGAGTAACTTAAGATTTTTTTTTTTTTCCCAAAAGTCGGGGTCTCCCACCCAGGCAGGGGGACCCAAAAAAGAAAGAAAATCCCCAAAAAGAAAATACTTTCATCATCATTCAACACTTCACCACACTCACACATTATCACTGCTTTTGCAGAGGTGCTCAGAATGCAACAGTTTAGAAGCATATACGAATAAAGATACACAACATATCCCTCCAAACTGCCAATATCCCAAACCCCTCCTTTAAAGTGCAGGCATTGTACTTCCCATTTCCAGGACTCAAGTCCGACTATATGAAAATAACCGGTTTTCCCTGAATCCCTTCACTAAATATTACCCTGCTCACACTCCAACAGATCGTAAGGTCCCAAGTACCATTTGTCTCCATTCACTCCTATCTAACACGCTCACGCACGCTTGCTGGAAGTCCAAGCCCCTCGCCCACAAAACCTCCTTTACCCCCTCTTTCCAACCCTTTCAAGGACGACCCCCTACCCCGCCTTCCTTCCCCTATAGATTTATATGCTTTCCATGTCATTCTACTTTGATCCATTCTCTCTAAATGACCAAACCACCTTAACAACCCCTCTTCTGCCCTCTGACTAATACTTTTATTAACTCCACACCTTTTCCTAATTTCCACACTCTGAATTTTCTGCATAATATTTACACCACACATTGCCCTTAGACAGGACATCTCCACTGCCTGCAACCGTCTCCTCGCTGCTGCATTTACCACCAAGCTTCACATCCATATAAGAGTGTTGGTACTACTATACTTTCATACATTCCCTTCTTTGCCTCCATAGATAACGTTTTTTGATTCCACATATACCTCAACGCACCACTCACCTTTTTTCCCTCATCAATTCTATGATTAACCTCATCCTTCATAAATCCATCCGCCGACACGTCAACTCCAAAGTATCTGAAAAACATTCACTTCTTCCATACTCCTCCTCCCCAATTTGATATCCAATTTTTCTTTATCTAAATCATTTGATACCCTCATCACCTTACTCTTTTCTATGTTCACTTTCAACTTTCTACCTTTACACACATTCCAAAACTCATCCACTAACCTTTGCAATTTTTCTTTAGAATCTCCCATAAGCACAGTATCATCAGCAAAAATTAACTGTGTCCATTCCCATTTTGAATTTGATTCCCCATAATTTAATCCCACCCCTCTCCCGAACACCCAGCATTTACTTCTTTTACGGCCCCATCTATAAATATATTAAACAACCATGGTGACATTACACATCCCTGTAACCATATGGCTATTCAGTGTTTTAATATAAATGGATGCTAATCTTTTTTTTTTTTTTTTAACACAAGGTCAGCCGTCTCCCACCGAGTCAGGGTGACCCAAAAAGAAAAATCCCCAAAAAGAAAATACTTTCATCATCATTTAACTCTTTCACCTCACACACACACATAATCTCTGTTTTTGCAGAGGTGGTCAGAACACAACAGCTTAGAAGCATATACGTATAATATAATTACTAATTTGTCATTATCATTACCAATATTTAGCCATCTTAGCAATTTGCCCACTTGCTACTATTGGTACCAATTTCCTGTGGTACATAATTTAATGTCATATTACAGATAACTGCAATATAATCAAAATGTAATCAGCACATTCTAATTCAATAAGCCAGTCCAAACCATATCCATAATTTGATTTCAGCTATAGGCTTTAAGTCATGATAAATTTTAGCTAAAAACTGGCTTGCTAGGTTCTTATCCAGACATTCAGGCTGCTGCTGCTGCCACCACCACCACAGTAATATGACCTAGCATCAGAGGGGCCAAAAGGGCCAAAATCTATCATTACAGTAGTGACCCAGCATATGGGGGTGCTAAAATCCCACCATCACAGTAAGATAAAACAGCATCAAGATGCTCAAACCATGCCACTACAGTACAGAGACAACATCAGAGGACTACAACCCTGCCAACACAGCAAGGTGACCCAGAATAGGGGACCCAAATCCAGCCACCACAGCAAGGTCACTCAGCACAGGAAGCTCAAACACTATCTCTGAGGTGATCTGACTTAACATCAGGAAAGCTATTCTAGGTGGCAGGTTGCCATCTAAATACCCTATCAAATATAAAGGAAAGCTTTTACCTCCACGATCCTTCTGCTGGTTCGTTCCATTCTTCTCTCATCTTCCTTCACCATGGATTTAATAAGAGCATTAGCTTTATGGAGATCTTCTGGGTTCTTACTCTGAAGTAGTCTCTGCAGAAGCCTTGACTTTTCTTCATCTTCAAAAACTGCATTTGCTCGAGATCTGGGCTCGGGTACAGTTGGAGCTCCTATATACTGAGGATCATCCTGGAAAACAATTAGGCAAGAGTCACAAAATCTGTAATTACAGTAATCCGATTATTTGGAAATTAGTAACTCTTACATAACCACACTAATAAATGATGCAAACATGACTAGCAGCTGATGGATGGATAGTTTAGGTAAATTGTTTTAATGTTGTTTTACCATAGTTACAAAGTAAGACACACACAAAACAGTTAAGTATCTTTATTCCCAAATGTTTTGCCTACACAGTAGGCTTCTTCAAATACTGAGGAAGCAGAAGCAGTAGAGATGTAAAGACAATGTAATCAGTCCATCACCCTCGAAGAGGTAGGATGGTCAGTCCCTCAGCCTGGAGAAGAGTTCTGCTCCATAGTCAGGAACAATGCTAAGCTGAAGTAACAGAATGGAAAGACATATACTGTTAAAGGTGAGGAACAGATAATCCTGACAACAGGAGACGTGAAGCCCACTAGTAAAATTAAGAATGTAATCATTAAGAGGCAGTGTAGCAAACCTAGTGAGTAGGCCCCTCAAATCCAACCTTTCTCACTCATAACAAGTGTGTAGAACTCTTCTCCAGGCTCAGGGACTTCCCATCTAAAAATTATGTCTTCAAGGATGATGAACTAATTACACCTGTCTATTTCTCTACAGTTCCTGCTGCCTCCTCTGTATTCAACTGAAAAAGCCTTTTGTGTAGCCGAAACATTCTGGAATAAAGATACCTAACTGTTGCACATGTGTCTTATTTAACAACTTGTCAGTATTGTATACCATTATCATATTACCATAGTTACCATTTTTTTATTTTATTTTTACCACACGAGGATCTCCCACAAATTTTGCCACACATCACTTATACAGCTGTCCCAAGGAGAGAGAGTGCAACAGAGAAGTGCAGTAGTAGCAGCAGCAACACTCACAGCCAGAGGCATTCTTGAGCTTCCCCAGCACTCGGGCTTAATGCCCAAAGCTGGGGGTGACTCCAAAAGGATCCTATAGTGCTTGCTGTCTCTGCACCTCCTGACATCATCTGCTGCTATGCAGCTGTCACCCCCTTCAAGTCCAGTGTGGGCAGGGTTTGTGGTAGCCCAAGGTGCCTAGCTTTGCCCTCCGAGCCCCGTGGGGGCGGGGAATGGGGTTAGGCCTGGGGACAGCTGGTCCAGAAGACAAGGAGGTACTTATACCTCCTTCCATGGCAGACATTGGTCTCAACACTCCCACAAAGGGGAGCAAAGTCCGGGCCACCACTTGGAAAAGGCCCAGGCCTGGCGAATATACCAGCGAATCTACAACAAACAATAACAACAGTTGTCCCAACAAATTCACAGGCTTCCTTATTTGTGGGGTCTTGATTTACCAACAAACCCTTGGGAAAACAGATATGCGTTCCTCTGACCTCCACAAACTGTAACAAATTTTTTTAATGTTTATCCAGTAATGTGCAAAGTTTCAACACAGTTCAGAGAATGTTATGACCTGAGCTGTCCAGACCACCATGTGAAAGGAACATGGCACATCAAATAAAGCAAGGAAAGTAAAAAGAATACCAGTCTTTTTTAGACAAAGAGAAACGATCAGAGCCAAGAAAAAGGACAAAAGGGAAATATGGGACAGAGGTGCACAACAGTGGGACTTACCAATCCAGGCATCCACTCAACAGGGTCAAATATATAACAGACAAATGCACAATCAATACTGGAGAAACCAGGGGTATGTACACCAGGGACCAAACCAGGTTTGTACACCATCAGTGGTACTAACTAAACACACACACACCAAAGCAAAACATCCCAAATGGTAAATCCTGTTTGCAAATATTAAGAGTCTAAAATCATATAAAAATGATAGTTACATTAGTGGGCTCCACTCAGAAGCGAATGCCATGTTTGGAGCATTTACAGAAACACAAACACACACTATAACATGTATTGATGTGATAGAATTAATCGGTCACAGGGAGGAGTAGGACTATGTAAAAGATACTTCCTGTTGCTCTGAAATGCTACATTCACTGAATGATACAGTAAAAATTCTACGTATCAAAGATGAAAATAAGAATATGGCAATTGTCCTAGTATATAAATCACCGTCAGCAACGGCTGAGGAATTCACATAACAGTTAAGGACGATAGATAGCTGCCTTGATAGGCTAAAAAATCCCACATCAAATACTATCCTCCTTGGAGATTTTCATCTCCCAAATGTAAAATGGAAGATGGCTCAATACAATGTTATACCAGAAATGGCTCCTGGAAGGACCATGGCTCAACAGGTACATACCAGGTAACTAATGAGGTTCTGCAAAAAGTACTCGTTGAACCAACAGACAAGTGATCCCACTAGAAATTAAAATACCCTGGATTTAAAATTCACAAACAATGAAGAACTAATCAAAGACATAACAGTTACAAAAATAATATACTCTGACCACAACATTATGGAAGTACAAATGAGTATTAAACTCATGGTTAGGAAACTACTGTACTAAGTAAAAGAAAGGAGGTTCAGTAAGTTTAACTGTAGCAACCATAGAACTGACTGGGACAAAAAACAGGAACTATCAGACACCCTAGGAAACAGACATGAGCACTCTAAATCCTCACCAGTGCCTGGAGAAGTTAAATACAGAAGCATACAAGGTTTGTATTAAATATGTACAATTGAAGAAACTAAAGAGAGATCAGATATAGAGAGAGAGCATAAGAGATCATACAAAAAAAAAATTGATTAGCAAATTGCTCAAAAACACAAACATGTTGCAATGAAGGAAAGACAGTCTTAAATGAGAGATCACCAATTTAGAGCAAAACCTAGGACGTCATACCAAACAGAAGAATCACAACGGGAACAAAAGGCAATCCAGGATATTACAAGAAACCCAAAATATTTTTATACATACCCAAATCCAAACTAAGAACTACCTGTAGAATTGAACCATTAATGATGAACATTAAATGAAGTCAGTGTTCAGCAACCCACTAAATAACAGCATGGTAGAGAATGCAAAAACATTTCTCACTCCAGTGGAAGGTCGCACAAACCAACTGACGTTAGTACTAATCCCACAGATTTCAAAAAAGAAATTGAAATCATGCCCACTCACTCAGCACCTGGACCAGATTCATGGAATGCCCTATTTATAAAATAATGCAAAGTACCACTAGCATGAGCCCTAAGTATTCTTTGGAGAAATTGCCTTGATCTAGGTGAGATACCAGTGACCCTGAAGAGTGCAGACATAGCTCCTTTGCATAAGGGTAGTACTAAAAATTAAAGACAAGCAGCCCTAACTTCCCACATTATAAAAATCTTCGAGAGAGTGATGAGATGTCAGATTACAAATTTCAAGGAATAGCATAGTCGGCATAACCCAAACCAGCATGGTTTTAGAACGGAATGATCATGCTTGTCACAGCTGCTGAACCATTATGACAGAATTATGGAGCTGTTGGAAGGCAACCAAGACGCAGATATGATGTACAGTAGACCCTCATATTACACGGATTTACTTTGCACGTTTTGGTTATTACACTATTCAAAAATTGTGGCATAATTTTATACAACACTTTGTAAAATTAACTTTACATGGTTCATGTTATGGGACTATAGGACCCAACACATATTGATGTATTTAAGTAACAGTTACTCTGGAATACCTAATTAATTGAATTGATGGGGCACAGCAGCTTAACCCTTAAACTGTCCAAACGTAGATCTACATCCACGTGCAGGGGCTCTGAACGTAGATCTACGTTTTTTTTTACATGCTCTCAAATGAGGAAAATAAAGGTCGGAGTGCTACGCACGTGAACGTAGATTTACATTTGGACAGTTTAAGGGTTAATGGTCATAAGGGCAAATCACTCTTAGGGGCTGAGGAGCAGCTGGGTCAAGCCTGTTTTTCTCAATAGGTACCATCCGACTTACAACCAAGCTTGGTTTCGACCAACCGGTCGTAAGTCAAAATGGATGTAAGTCGAACCTTACTACTGAATATCAACATTGCACTTTTGTAATGATTTTATTGTATTGTTTTACTTTGGCATTTCACTTTTTACTTTACTTTTTATGCTGTTAGTACTGTATTTTATACCATAAGGTCTAGGATAAACACACTGTACAACACAAACAGTTGTTTATTTCCCAGAAATTTGGCATAAAATACATGATCGTAAGTCGAGTGGTCGTATGTCGAGCAGGTTATAAGTCGGATGGTAGGTGTAATAGGTTGTACTATAGACACACATTTTAAATAAATAAAGTTGTATTTCTTTTTGTAGAAGTAAAATAAGATGTGGAAATGGGAAACATTATTGTGGTAGCTAGAGAATTGTGCATGGCAACAGTCTTTTGGATGTTTTGGGTGGGCTTTTGAGAGAAGCCTTGCTCTTGCTCTCCCTCTCTCTCTCGCTCTCTCTCTCTCGCTCTCTCCTCTCCGCTCTCTCGCTCTCTCGCTCTCTCGCTCTCTCGCTCTCTCGCTCTCTCGCTCTCTCGCTCTCTCGCTCTCTCGCTCTCTCGCTCTCTCGCTCTCTCGCTCTCTCGCTCCTCTCTTCGCTCCTCGCACCTCTCTCGCTCGCTCTCTCGTCTCGCTAAAAGCACTTACATAAATACACTTACATAATTGGTCGCATTGGAAGCTGATCATAAGGCAGGGGTCCACTGTATATCTAGAATATCCCTATTTTTGTAATACAGGTCCGCCATCACAAATCCAGCAATCAGTTATTCGATTCCTTCAGTTATTCAGCACTAATTTCGGCTAGCATAATTTCAAATTTCTAGGGTTGCCACACCAACCTGCTGGTACTGTTTGGTGGCACTACTTGCTGCATAAGTCATTCTAATTTCTTTTTCTCCATTTATTGTTACAACCTGCTTACTTTTAGCCCTAGCCATGGTTCCAATGAATAAAAGAAATACTTTTCATTGTGCAAAGCAACTACACAGTACATTCTCCATTAACCCTTAAACTGTCCAAGCAGATCTACGTTCACATGCCTAGCACTCCAAAAGTAGAT